CCCCCCCCAGCAGACCAGGCTTTTGTTGTGGACCCTGGGGTAGAGCAGCTGGGGTGCTGCCGGGTTGGTCCTGCAGGGACCTACCTGGCAGCCCGCCTGTTCTGCCCCAGGCTCGAGATTCAGCCGCTGTTGAAACTGATCAGTGGCTGATTCCAGGAAGCTGGGGGCAAAGCAATTCTGCCTCCAGCTTCCTGTAGTCAGCCCCTGGTCAGTTTCAGCAGCAGCGGCTGAATCTGGAGCCAGTTCCGACTTACATACAAATTCAACTTAAGAACAAACCTATAGTCCCTATCTTGTACGTAACCCGGGGACTGCCTGTACAGACCCCTGGAGACACCACTATATACCGATTTCCATTCTGAAAACTTTTACTCTTCTTTCTTATCTCATGACAGCTTATTTTTCTTAAGAGCTTTTGATGAGGGTCCTTGTCAAAGACATTCTGAAAATCTAATTGTACTACGGTATATCCGCTAAATCCCCCTTGTCCACATGTTTGTTGACACCCTCAAAGAATTTGAGAAGATTGTTGAGGTATGGTTTGCCTTTTAAAAAAAAAAATCTTTGACTCTTCTACCAACAAATTATGTTCATCTGTGTGTTCTCTACCAGTTTGCTTAGTATAGAAGCCAGGCTTATAGGTCTGTAATTGATGGGATCTCCTCTGGAGGCATTTTTAAAAACTGGTCACATCAGCTGTCCCCACATCATCTGGTACAGAAGCTGATTTCAATGATAGGTTTCAAACTGTTAGCAGTGCTGCAATTTCATATTTCAGTTACTTCAGAACTCTTGGTGACTACCATCTATTCCTGATGTCTCATTTATCAGTTTGTTTACCTCCACTTATGACACCTTAATCTGAGACAGTTCTTCAGATTCATCACCTAAAAAGAATAGCGTAGGTTTTGGAATTTTCCTCCCATCCTCAGCCATGAAGACAGATGCAAAAAGTACATTTAGGGAACATCTAGATTGTGTTGCTCTTTCGGGATATTGGAAGTATCCAGAAATAGCAACATCGTGTCTTTAAAAGTGCCTACTGTTTCCCAAAATAGTGGGCGTATTATTCCGGCATCCCTGTAACCCTTGTTCCACGAAGGTTAAGGGATTTGTCCGACTAGTGCCTTATTTTGAAATTTGGTGCTGTAAATTTCTAAATAATCTCTTTTGATTTAGACTGAGAATAAGCTATTCAATTTGCATAGCGCAAATTGTGTAGTTTATTCCGAGAGAAGTATGACGTCTAGATGCACCTTTAATTTCTCCACAATGGCATTATTGTCCTTAGCTATGTTTACACTATGGAGCTTTAATGGGAAAAGGAATGCAAATTGCACTCCACAATTTGCGTACCTTTTTCCAATATTTTTTTTGGAAGAGGCTTTTCCGAAATTTGTCCCGTCTACACTGGGCCAAATTTGGAAAAAAAACCTCTTTTGGAAGAGCCCTTCTTCCTCGTGGGAGGAGGAAGACAGCTTCTGAAAGAGCACATCTGCTCTTCTTAAAAAAAAAAAAAAAAAAAGCAGAAGAGCAGACATGTTTCCTGGACACAGCAGAGTTTAAACCCCGTAGTCTAGACATAGCCCTAGAGTGCTCCTTTAGCATCATCATCATCTAGTTGCCCCACTGGTTGTCTAGCAGCTTGCTGCTTCTGAGTCTTTGTGCCCTTCCTTATTACATTTATACATTTTGTTTGCCAGAGTTTATGCTCCTTTTTATTTTCCTCTCTAGGATTGAACTTCCCCTTTATCTCTCACTGCTTTTTTGTTTGTTTGTTTTTTGTTTAGCCACATTTGTACTTTTTTGGTTCTCTGTTTTTTTAATTTGGGGTATGCATTTAAGTTAATCCTCTATTATGGTGTCTTCAGAAAGTTAAACAGAAATTAAAATGTACAGTGCCAAAAGTAAAACCCCTACAAGCTGCATGGAAACTAAGTGCCTTATTTTTGCATAATCTCTCTTTCTGACATTGAATGCTATGGTGTTGGGCTGCTGTGGTATTTTCCTCATTATAGAGATATTGAATTTAATTATATTATTGGTCACAATTGCCAAGAAGTCAAGCTATATTAACCTCTTGAATCATATCCTGTGCTCCACTTGGGACTAAATCAAGGATTGCCTCTTCTCTTGTGAGTTCCAGGGCTAGCTGGTCCAAGAAGCACTGATTTAAGGTGTCAATAACTTTATTTCTGCATCCTGACTTGAAGTGACATGCACTCAGTTAATATGGGGTAGTTGAATTTTTTATTATATAGCCTCTCTAATTGTTAAGCCAATCATGGTGTAAACCAAGCCAGGCCTGTGCACCTGAAGATGTGACAGTATTGTGGCTGGGGGCAGTGCCGGTTAACAGAGTGCCAGATAACAAAGGTTTCACTGTATTAAGAGCTGGAAGCTCTTAATACATTTAAAAGGCAGAGCCGCCGTGGGGTTAGCTCCTGGGCATTTAATATATCTAGACAAAGGATTTCATTTAATCTTTTCAGTGACCTAGTGTGACTCAATGGATACATCAGCTGTAGATTAGAGAGTACTGCCGTAACTACTCTTTCATCTTAACATTTCATAATGCTTTGGATGATTCCCTTGTTAGCTTTATTGACTCTAAAAACACTAGTTGGCTACTGTTGTGGTTGATGGACTGTGTGGGGTTTTTGTTTTTTGTTTTGTTTTGCATGGTTGTATGCATGTATATTGTATTTATATCTTGAATGATCAACTACTAGAGAACCTTATGGCATGAAAGTGTTTAGTACTTATCACTCTCATGATTTTATATCAGATGTTGCATTATGATGTGTAATAATCATGTGCAATGTTTTATTTGCATGTATTATGAGGAACAAAGCCAAAGTCTTAAACCTCCCTTTTTATGGTAATATCAGACAGCAAAAATATAGCAGTGGAAAAACTCTCATTGCTTTGAGCCCAGGATTTCACCCAGTAGTTGACTGCTGATTTCTAAAACATGCTCTTTCAGCAGAGGGGAACGACGAAGTATTTTTTGTTAATTTCCAAGATTTCATGCCTTGGTTGTACTAATTTGTATCATGATTTTGTAATAAATCATTTTATTTTCTGCTTTTTTACAATATAAATCTCATAGCATCAGAGATTATTTATGTTACAACATGCCCCATGAAGAACTTTTATATGTCTGTGAAGATAAGCCAAATATTTCTATCCAAAATAAACTATGAATGCTAGTTTGGATAGACAGCATATTTCTTAGTTTGAGAGTTACGCTGGTAGCAAAATAAACAAAATCATAACCAAATACATTCAGTCGAATATTTTATCAGTCGCAAAATAGCCATGTTTTTGGTATGTTCTTGGGCTAAGATATTCTACAGTTATTTAGAATTGCAGCCTCTGCCTTAATTGAACAAACACATGCTCAGTCAAAAGTACGGTAGAGGTATATTTTCATTGTGCACTCATCTTTCTTTTCCATTCCCTGTACTGTTCTATAGTTCTCTTAGGGTTGATTGCACTTGAAAGTTAGGATGATTTATTATGTTAACGAGGGCATGAAAAAAACACACTCCAGACCAACATATCTATACTGACCTAAATCCCCAGAGTCGGTACGGCTTTATCAACAGAAAAATGCTTGCATTGACATAGCTACTGTTGCTCATAGAGGTAGTCTTCTAAAACCAATAGAAAAGGCCCTTCTGTCAATGTTGACTGCATCTATACTATGGGTTCAGAGGGGTAGCCGAATTAGTCTGTAACTGGAAAAACTTAAAAAAAGAACAAACAGTCTTGCCGCACCTTAGAGACTAACAAAACCTATAGATGGTATCATTAGCTTTCATGGGTGCAACCCGCTTCTTCAGATGATTAGGGTTATACTAACATAGCTATGGTGATATAGTCTCTGTAGTGTAGTCCTACCTGTATGTTCCTACTGAGGTGACCGAGAATGACTTATTTTATAACGGGAACTTATTTTATAACCCCACCATCATTTCAGGATTTTAAAATTAGATGTGTTTTATATAGATATAGATATATTTGCATTCGTGAATTTTTTATGAGTTTTTATGCTTTAAAACTAGTAAAGAATTTCAGTGATGTTTGTTTTGGGTTATTAGGGTATACAATTAATTTCAAGTTCTTTGTGATTTCACAAAAGCCAGGCAGAAATTATCTTTAAATATTTGGTAAACTAAAAAATTGAATAGTTTATTAAAATAGCATTTAATGTATTTGTCTTTTGTATTAGAAACGTCTGAAAGCAGCTGAAGCAGAAAGTAAATTGAAACAAGTGTACATCCCAACCTAGTAAGTATGCAAATGTTTGTACTTTAAGACACTTTGTTGGGACATAATGGATAGATGAAAATGCACTTGCCATTCTCAGAAGATCAGTAAAAATGAAAGTAAATGAATCCTATCCAATAATGCTCCGGATATATGTAAGATGTGCTGGATATATTACAGTAACTTGATACATACTACGGTTTTGATCCTCCTGTTGCATATTTACATATGATTTTGATTATGGACTGATGATTATGCTCTTTTTGTGGGGTTTTTTGTATTTAATTCATCCCTTTGTTCTTGTCCATTTTCCTCCAGTAAGAAAACTAGATGTAAAACCAAATATAACTGGACTAGTTAAAATGTTGTGTTGCTTGGTAATATACAGAGTGTGCCCTTGTTGCCATTTATAGATCAGAGTTTAAGTAATCTCTTTAGAATCTCTCTGGAGTGTTATATATGAGAATAAATTCAACATTTCAAAGTATAAGTAATTGTTTGTTAGACCAGATGCTTTTACCTTACAATTGTAGTTTTATCTTGTTGATAAAATATATTCTTAAACCAGTTAGGAGATAAGAAAAGAAAGCTATGATAAGGCTTAAATGATAAGGCTTTGGACAGCTCTAAATCCCTTCTCTGTGAACTAAACCCTGTTAACAAAATCTTTTTATTTTAGTGTTTTGTCATCCTAATGTTTTTAGTTATCCAGCTTTTGGACTTAAACAGATTTTTAGCATTAAATTTTTGTGAACATGTGGTTTATGGGAATGAATCCAAGTTTTTAACTTCAATTATTTCCTCAGGGCTATGGGAGTAGCAAGGATTAGGGGCAAAATTCTCCTTCAAGCTTTGTGCCACTATGTTGTACTTTCCATATATGCATGACTTTCCTATTTATGAATTCCGCACATGTGCAGGGAACAGAATACCTGAAAAAATGTGATCTCTGTAAACTACATACAGTACTGTTTCGTTTTATATGGTGTCTTTCCTGCAGCTTCTCTCCCCAAACAGGTTTAATAGCACGAGGCAGTGGATAGACTGAAATAGATTTTAGCTTTTAATCAGTCCAACCTTCTGAAAATGTCTCAGTGAGAGTTATTTAAAGCCCAAACCAGCACTAATAAAATAATTTTTTTGAAGTGATGATAATAATTGTGGGTGATGGATAATTTGTGACATCCTAATACCAGAGCAGTATTCTGGGAATAATCATATGAGTATGCAATTACCAGCAGTTTTCCTAGCACAATTATGTTACCTATGTTGGTGGTTGTGGCACGTGAATAGTAAAAATAATAATTAGCACTTACATAATGCTTTTTACATTCAACATCCTTGCACCATGTTTAGTATGGTCAATAAAGAGAAGTGTGTGTGTTGTGCTTTGGGTGTGTGACCTTGCGCCCTTTTGCACTGTGGGTGAGTATTGACCCTAAGGGAAGTAGTCAGTGTTCCCACATGCAAATTGTTATACTGGATAAGACATGGGCATTGGTTCAGTCCAGTATCTTGTTTCTGCTAGTTGCCACTAACCAGTGCATCAGAGGAAGCTTCAGGAGCCCTTAATTGTATAAATATGAGATTGCTGGGTTTGTGGGATATGCAGGTGCTATATAGTTCCCCTAGTACTTGGGAGATTGTTGCCAGATCCCACCACTCTAAGCTGTTTCCAGGGACTTCAGTAGTAGTTCTGTGCGGAGAAGGTATATGAGATCCAGTACCCTAGCACTAGTTTATGGCCTAATCCAGGGTGGGCAGATACTAGCCCCAGGCAAGCCCTCATCACTATATTTACCCGCACATGCACAGATACCAGGGCTCTTGCTGGGCATGGATTGCTGTTCATGGCCAATAGGAGCTGCAGAAAGTGATGTCCTGGTCTGCACTGTTGCCTGTCACTCCCATTGCCGGGAATAGCAATCCATGGCCAACAGAAGCTGTGATCACCGGTATCTGCAGAGGTATAGGTAAATATAGTGGTGGCCCACCAGTGGCTAACCTTGGCGAACCGCCACCAATTTATTGCCCATGTCTGGACTTATTCTTCAGTCCTTACTTAGAAAAAATATTGCATGACCTAAGAACTATTAAACCAGGCCTTAGATCTCTGATTCATTCCATTTATCTCAGTGAATTTACTTTAAATTGTTAATAAAAGGTTGGATTTTTTTGTTCCTCCCAACAAATATCGTTAAGGGCAGAATCTTCCTCTTTACTTAGATGGTATTAACTAGGGATGTAAAAGAGTATTTGAATAGTCGACTACTCTCATTCCCCCTTTCTTTGTTGCCTCTGATACAGATGTGGGGAAGCAGAAGCTGGTGCTGGGGGGAGCTGGTTTAAAAGGGGAAGGGTAGGGAAGGCACAGGAACAGTGGTACTGCGGCTCTGCCTTTTAAATGTAGATAGAGCTGTTAGGGTCTTACTACATGTAAAAGGAAGAAGCGCAGCAGTCGGGGACCTGGCACGAGCAGAGACTGCTTCTGTCCCCACTCACACCGAGTCCTGCACTGCTCATCTGCCTTTTAAATGTAGTAAGAGCCTGGAAGCTAACTCTGACTGAATTCCGCTCCCCCCCCCCCCTTCTCCCATTAGATTATTAAGGAATTAACATATGTTGCAGTCATAGGACAAAGGAAGGTTTGTGAGATTGTTTTGAGACATAAAACCAGTTAAAGAAGTGTGGATTGGATAAATAGACTGTAAGATGGATAGAAAGATGGCTAGGTCATTGGGCTTAGCAGGTAATGATCAACAGCTCAGTGTCTGGTAGGGATGTCAACATGTAGATGCCTACACAATTAATTTATAAGCCTGGGTTTATCAGTTAATCCTGTCAACTACAGGCATTCTCCCCCATCCCCACCTTCCACTCAGGGAACTATCGAGTAGTCATGTAACCACTAAAATGTAGTGCAGTTACACAACTGTTGGATCTTCATAGATATTGAGAGCCAAAGTTTCGTTTATTGCTGGCAAAAACAGACTTTTTGTTGATAATTGTGGAATACATTTCCACCATTTCCACCATTCAGTGGGCTTTGCGGTTTGGTGATGGTGAAACCATTTGTAATGTATCGCTGCTACAAATTATAAGTCTTCATACATTTGACCTAGTGAAGACTTCATCATTTTTTCAGCACACCCCTATCTTGATGTGTGAGGTTTGATTTTTTTGTTTTCTGGAAAAATACATTGTTTTCTGTGCAGTGGGATATCTCCAAAGCATTATGTGATGGGAGGAGACTGAACGTATTATGTAGAATTTTGTGATGACCTGAGTTCCAGGCTTTTACATTAATTTAGACCATGGTCTTACAAAGCTGTTCATCAGCTGTTTATATAATCAACTTGTCTGTAATCTAAACAATTTATTAGAGAAACATGGAAAAAAATTTGTAACTCAGAAGAATTTCTTACATATGGTAGAGTTCATAAACCAGAAACACAGAATGAAATCTTGCTTATGTTAATTAAATGCTTATTAAAATGTTTTCTGATTACTTTTTATTTTATTTAAAGCAACAAACCAAACCCCAATCAAATATCCAGCAACAATGGGAAACCAGGTGCAGTGAATGGCGCCGTGGGAGCATCTTATCAGACACAGACCTCACTAATAGGTCGGGCTTGTGAGAGTTGCTATGGTAAGAAAAGCGGGGGGGGCATAAGTATGTGTTGAATACAGATATCATTTGAACATTTGTGGGGTGGTTTTTTTGCCAATGCTAATTTTTACCCTTTGATAAAACAGATGTATTGATTGAATCTGTTACCACATTCCAGGCAAAGTGTAGGTTGATTTCTTTTTGATAGTTAGAACTGAGAAATGCTGCATACTTAACTCTTCAATCAGAACTGTGCCACTGTAATAAATTAACTTCAATAGTCAATATATTCCAAGTTTAAAGACCTATTTATAAACTGTAATAGTTGGATGGATTGCGAGCTAGAATCAAGGTAGTGTGCTGGACTCGGTACTGTGGTCTTTTATCTTTGGAAGTCTGTATTCAAATCCTGACTTTGGTCACAAATGCAAATACATCTTGTGACTTTAGGGTGGTCTCTAGTGAACTTTTCTGCGTAGCAAAACTCACCACAGAACTTGGCACAGATGAGTGAGAATATGGAAAGAAATTGGTAGTCTCATCTCAAAAGACATCCAGGACTTATAAAGAGACGAGCTATATCATCAGACTTGCGATTAAGCTTATACAGAGCATGTCCTTGCTGTTCACCCTTCTGTCATGAATACCAATGCAATCTTAACAATATTTCATATAGAAAGCAAAACTGCGTATATGGTTAACACTCTTGCAGTAGGGAGAGCACTCTGTTGTAAAGCTCTTCATTTAGGCTAGTTTTAGATCTATTCAAAAGTAGACTTAATGGGGGCCTGGATCAGATTGATAAACACTAGTTTTGTGTAATTCCTAAAAAACAAAAGTTTTGACCTCTATTGCAATCTTTGCAGTTGCAATAGGTAACTTACAAGCACTCTCACAGAAACTATGCTTATATCTTCATGCATAAGAAAAAAAGTAAACAGGGTTTTTGAGGTATTGTTTTCTTTTACTTCATTGAAAACAGGAAATAAATCAGTCTTTTCCTAATGTTTAGGTATCACAAGTTCAAAATGAATGGAAAAATAAATCAATTTCCCCATTACATTTTTTAAAATTGTTTTAGAATACCTCTAAAATCACCGTAAAATAAGTTCTGTTTTTCATTCTGCCTGATTTGTAGTACTTCTTTTCATAATTGTCTTGAAAATAGTAATAGCATAAAGCGTTCATGAATTTATTATATGTAATGCAACATGCATCAATTCAGCTGTGTTTTTTTTCTAATCCATAGCCACACAGTCTCATCAGTGGTATTCTTGGGGTCCCCCTAATATGCAGTGTAGATTGTGTGCATCTTGCTGGATTTATTGGAAGAAATATGGTGGACTGAAAATGCCCACACAGACAGAAGAAGAGAAACTATCTCCCTGCCAAACTACAGAGGTAGGATTATGTAGGCAAATGTTTCAGATATAAATGTGACACATTTCTCAGAAGTGACTGTGATTATGAATGTATTATGTAATGTTTCTTGTGCGTGTGTGGAAAAACAACATTTTATACTTGATGTGGCATTGAGTTAATATTTCTTCAGGTTTGACTGTGCTCAGTGCTTTACAAAGCATAAAGTGAGACATATAGTGTTACTGGCCCATATGTATGATTAGAGTCTAAAGCAGCAGGACAGCAGACATTTACTCCTTTGTATAAAGTCACTCCCTTGCAAAGTCCATCCCACTATACTCAGTAGAACCCAAGTGAAGTCACATCTGAGCAGAGTTCCAACACAAGATTTATGCATTCCTGAAGTCTCATTTTGAAATCTTATTTGTGGTGCATAGGCATTGAGTTGTCTTTCTGCAGAGGTGAATTTTGTCCTCCAGTTTTTCTTGTGAGTAGGATCCTGTATAAACAAATGTCCTACTTCATGCATCTTTGGTGCATGACCAGTGTTACCGTATCAAACAAATGTTGTAGGTCTCTATAGAAAGCCAAAACCCCAGTGTGTTTATCTGACATTACATATTTCTATGATTAGAGTTCTCCAAATTTTGTGTGAATTTTGTGTGGTTATTTCTGATGCTTAAATACAAGAGAAATGACCTACTATGTTTACTCTTCAGTTATGTGGGAAATATGCTAATTTCTTCATTTCTCTTTCAATATTTGTCGTTTTTGTAAAGAATTTTAGATTTTTTGTTATATTTCACTATTGGTAATGGGATTTTTGGTAGCTGTATGAAACTGTTGTAGTTGTTTTGTTTCATTTTAGTTGTGTGTATTTTATGATTTTTTTTGCAGGATTCCCGTATTAGAACTCATATGTCACGCCAGGCTACACAGGGTACACCAGTCCGTAACACTGGTAGTCCAAAGTCTGCAGTGAAAACGCGACAAGCTTTCTTCCTTCACACAACATGTTTGACAAAACTTGCCCGTCAAGTCTGCAAAAATACCCTCCGGTTGCGGCAGGCAGCAAGACGTCCATTTGTCCCTATTAACTGTGCTGCCATTAGGGCAGAATGTAAGATGTTTTTAAATTCCTAGTTTAATGTGCTATGCTTCCAACCATTTTCTGTCTTTCATTTTATTTTCTTTTTCAATAAACATTTCTTGTCTACCACACTTTTGTTTTATTGTTTTCCCCAAAAGCTAAGTTTACATTTGTCCAGTGTATCACCAAAAAATTAGACAAAGTATGTCTGTTGAGGAGAGTTATCAAGCAAGTGTTATGTATGAAATGAAAATTGAAAAAGGAATATTGCAAATGAATTAAGAGTGTTATCTTCTCATTCATTTATATCACATACTGTCATAAAAGTTTTTGCTATTATCAGCAAATACTATATGAAACTGGTGTGCATATTTTGTAATACAGACACCATATTTCCTACCACATATGGTGAAATAAGAGTTTGCTTTTAAGGAATTTATATTTTGTTTTTCACAACTAAAGGTACAGGGTTAGATTCTGCTACCCTGACAAAATTTGATTTCAGTGGGACTATTACAGGAGTCAGATACTGCTCATAGCATAAATAAGGATGGCAGAATTTATGCCTTTCTATGTCCACTTAATATATTTAAGGTCTAAAGGTCATGATGGCCACACTTACTGTTTCACTGAAGTTTTGCTTCTTTCATCCATTCTTAAATTTTAGTTTTATGCATATTTCCATACTGTTTTGTGATTTTTGCTCTGTTCTTTTAAAACAAAAACATATAGATCCTTCCTACATTAGTAACTTAATGAAACATATGTAGCCTGGGTGAACTTAAATACCCTTTTGGGGTAAAATGTGAGAAATCATTGAGAAATATTACAATGAAAAGGTAGTAACTTAATAGCTTCTGTATTCTCCTGTGTGTTTAGAGTCCAATGCAACATCCATTGTAGTTATTGGATATTTCATTGGGCTTTTGATTGGATTTTAAATGTATAATTTAATGAAGATACCACCTTACTTTCTCAGCTTCCATGGGTTAGTATCTTCAAAGCTCCCATTTGGTGCACCAATATGGAATACACTACCACATCCACTCCCTTAACATCAGATCTAGCAAAAAAAGAGTTAATAAGATTAGGTCAGCCATGCTGACACATTGTTACTTACATTATGTTTGAAGATACATTTTTCTGAGAATTAGAATTGATTTTGTAAGGATAATTACTGGATTAAGGCAAAAGTAAGGTGTGATGGGGTGGATCACAGAATTCCCCTTGAGATTGTCACCTGGGGTGCAGATAAAGCGACTGAACCCACTTACCTGTGCTCTGGTGCACCCCGGTACCCTGTCCTGCTGAGCCAGAAGTGATGGTTTCCTCTAGCCAAGAAACAGAGTTGGGGTAACACAACACAGACAGTGAGCCAGCTCAGTTCTGGGAGAGCTCAGCTATAAAGCCATTGGCAACACCCAGAAATGTAACCCTCAAAGGGGACCAAACCCCCAAATAAATCCGTGTTACTCTGTATACAAATTTTACACACAAAAAAATCATGAGGGCAGAAAACTCATAAGAGTACCAAAATGGGTTCCAGCATCAGGTGGACTGGACACATGTCTTGGTAGGATCAACCACAGTTTGGGCTTACAGGAAAAACAAAACCATTCATAGGTTTTTTACTTGATCACCAAGCCATCAAGTTATTATATTACATTTCCTTGTTCTATTTTCCACACTTCTCATGATTTTCCAGATCCCTAATATATCCTCTCACCCTTTAGTCATTTATTTCCCAAGCTGAAAAGTCCTAATCTTTTTAATCTCTCTGCATATGGAAGCTGTTCCTTATCACTAATTATTTCTGTTGCTCTTTCTGTACCTTTTCCAAATCCAGTATATCTTTTTTTAGATGGGGTGACCAGATCTGCATGCAGTATTCAAGATGTGAACATACCATGACTTCAGACAGAAAATATCATGTTGCTTCTATATAAAATCTATTCCTTTCCTAAGGATGCACATTATTCTGTTAGCTTTTTAGATTATCACTGCACATTGAGCAAATGCTTTCAGAGAACTATCCACAATGATTCTAAGATCTCTTTCTTGAGTGGTAACAGCTATTTTAGACCCTGTCTTTTTTGTATGTATAGTTGGGATTATATTTTCCCATGTGCATTACTTTGCATTTATCAACATGAAATTCCATCTTCCTTGTGTTGTCCAGTCACTCAGTTTTGTGAGATCCCGTTGTGATTCTTAGCAGTCAGGTTTGGACTTAACTATTTTCAGTAATTTTGTAGCATCTGCAAATTTTGCCACCTCAGTGTTTACCCCTTTTTCATGATCATTTATGAATAAATAGAACAGCAGTGGTACAAATGCAGACCCCTGGAGTACACCACAATTTATTCCTTCTCTTGTTTTCCTATCTTTTAAGTGGAGTATCTGGCAATGTTTTCATGATCATCTAAGGATCCTTCAGTAACTTGAATGACAAACCTTTTGTTATTTTAGCACCCTACCTTCCTCTGTTTATAAACAAACTCCCTTCCTCAGTGGCAAAGCTGGAAGCAGCATAAACTTTGTTGCAGTTAGCAGCTGTCTCTGGAGCTAGGATGTGTGCTTTAAGCAAATCTCAAGTATGAAATCCAGGAGTTCAAACTTTTGGGGGGCTACAGACTCCTCCTCCCCATCCTCCACCCACCTTAAATAGTACCTTGAAAGAAAGCCTGGTGAGGGAGAAATTAGCCGTAAAATTGGATTCACTTTTAATAGAGCATCTTGATTCTTTATCCTTCCTTGTTCTGATTTTATCTCCCAATTTGTGGCTTTAACAGGAGCTGTAGAATTTCTTGTTGTTTGAGGAAACAAAACAGTTCATCTGACTGTTAATCATCATCCTACAAGGGACATTACTTTATACACAATTCTGATTTTTAAAACAAAGCAAATGAAAAGCAGAGCTTCTATCACACTAGTAGTGCTTTGAGTGCCTCATCTTTAGTTTTTTGACTGAAAAAGTCATTAGAAATTAAAATCGTGACCAGGAAGATCTTTTTTTGTAAACACTGACATTAGTTTTTGTTTCTATTTGAAGGAAAAATCACATCTACATTGTGCCTATTGTATTCTGCTACCCCAGTTGGCCCTGGAATAGATTAAATTCCTCCACAGTAACTGTTGATTTTTTTAAAAAGCCTAAAAAGCCATCAAACCATTTGATAAAGTGTGACTCAAAGAGTATGTGTGTATATTTCTCCAACAATATCTTCTGTGCATAACAATGCATTGTATTCCTCATCCACAAATTGCTTGTCCATGGAACTGTCTTGCACAGCATTAAATCTTATCAATAATAAATAGCCCATATAATTTTCAGTTGCTACAAAATCTGAGTTTCTTGAGTTGTATGTTCTTCCTTCGAGTGATATAGGTGTGTTTCTCTGTTATAGTGCAGTTAATTGATTCTTCTTCAAGAGATATCCCTCTGGGTGCTCCATATCAGGGTGTTGGTCACCACACCAAGGATTGGAGTCTTCAGAGCAGTGTCTCTTGGGACGTGCATGCACAGATCCTAAGCCGTGCACTCCAAGTGTGCTGACGCTGTGCATGCGTGAATCCTCCTCCTCCCCTCCCTCCCCCCCAGTTCCTTCTCTACTGGACAGACAGAGCTCTGCAGTATTCCTGACCTTGTTCCGTATGGTTAGATAAGTAACCCTGTTTTTCATCTTTCTCTTAGTCAGTTATTTAATAGTTCTTCCCTATTAAAAAAACAAACAATCAAACTTCTCCATTCCCTCCCCTCCACCCCCACCAGTTAGCTAGTAGTTAGTTTTAGCATTGCACCTCGTTCACCAGGATTTAAAAGCTGCTCTTCATGAATGGCCCCATTCCAGTGTCAGACCAAACTCACAATGTGTCCACTGCCTCAGGGAGGCACACGTCTCTCAAAAGTGCTGCCATTCCTCAAAATTGAAATCAAGAGCCCACTGTGACAAAGACCTTTGACTCAAACTTATATTTCTAGAAAAATTGCTATTCCTTGTTTCTAACCCAGGGCAAGACTCCGAAACATTTCAGGCACGTAGAGATAAAAAAGTGAAAAAGTGAGCCTCCTCTCTTCCACAGAACTCAATAGCAGCGAAAAAGGGCTCACCAACTTCAGTGCTGAGAACAGCTGCAGCTCTGCACCTCAGTACTTATGAAACACCTGACATCTCCAGCACCACTAGGACCATGACGAGACCAGGTGTACAGAAAAGCTGTGCCGAGGCTGCAGGCTTTAAGTTGCCTGCTTCACATAGATCATCACCACCAGGCACCGAGGATGCCTTATCGGCACCACAGGTACTTCTAGGGCCGAGCACAACGCCAGAAGTGGTCACCAGTGCCGTAATGGCACCGACAACATCACTGGCTCGCTTGGTGCCAAGATTACATCCGGCACCACAAGTTGCTTCAGTACAGTCGACGACAGCACCAGCAATACCCGTACCACAGTATATGCAGCACAGAGACTTGCTCGTTTCTGCTACATTCAACTCGCCTTTCCTTGCTACTGACTGCTTCACGGGCATCCTGGCGCCGCAACAAACACTTTCTCCAGAACAATTCTCAAATGACAACGAGGATGATAATATGGATATGGATTTTTCTCTGCAGAACTTTCCCCCTATGGATCACTCCATGTGTTCCACCAGAACCCATACACCAGACATAGAAACATGCCGCCATGGGGCACATCTAGACTACCTTTGGCTTCTGAAAGAAGATATGCTAATTTGGCATGAATTTGCATATCTTCTTGGGATCCCTTTTTCGGAAGAGGTTGTTCAAAAAAAAAAAGTTGTTTAGACAGGAGAGGGGGGGTTGCGCAACCTCCCCTCCCCTTTTTCAAAAGAATCCTTATTCCTCGAAAAATGAGATTTACAGGGTTCTTTTGAAAAAGGGGAAAGTTTGCTTGAAAAACCCCATCTAGACTGCTTTTTTTTTTTTTTCCAAAAAAGCCTCTTCCGAAAAAGGGATCTGAAGAAGATATGCAAATTCATGCCACATTTGCATATGTTCTTTCAGAG